AGGGAGCCCGATGCGGGACTCGATCCTGGGACTCCAGGATCATGACCTGAGCCGAAGGCAGTCGCTTAACCAACTGAGCCACCCAGGCACCCCAAGTTATTTAACTTCTCTACCTCAGGGGCTTTATCTGTAAAATCTGGATAATTGTTTTCTTAGGGTTGTTGAGAGGATTAAATGAGTTAATTCATGTAAACCTCTTAGAACAGAGCCCAACAGAATAAGCACCAAAAAAGGTTATGGTTATTATTAAAATCTATCAGTGTAATGTCCTTGGTATTAATGGCACAACTGTATAAAAATACATCTTGATCCCACCCAGAAAAAAAGGAAAAAAAATCCTGAAATCTGATATTTCCATGTTTTAGTTATTTGTATTGGTACCAGACATGAGGTAGTAAGTACAAATGCAAAGGAGGAAGTACAAAGATCACATCTTCATGCAATTCGCCTGTTGCCTGAAGACCTGAAGGCTGGACCTTAGGCCAGAAAAGAAAATCAGGATGACGACTTGGTAGTATTTTAGAGGGGTGTCATACATCTGACAGGGACCAGACTAAATATTTTCACTGAACACCTCGTTTCCATCGTCTGTGTGTAAGATTTCTCAACTTTCAAACATTTTGTCTCTTCCCAAGTAATTTTTTAAAAACTAGTAGCGGTAATAACGCTGATAATCCCAGCAGCATCACCAAAAGGAAGCACAGACTTTGCTTATCAAGATAGCCATCACCTCAGGAATTTTATACCAATTTCTCACGAACTGATAGCAAGCAAGCAAGCATAGTTGGCTTAGTTACAACAGGTTGAACTGGTGTTTTAGTTTGAAGAATTTTAAAGCAAGCCAAGTAATTGTATAAAATTTAAATTTTATGACCATGTTTGGACCTTTTTACATTAAGCACAATGGAAATGTTCATATTCATTTTTTTCCCCAAAGGAAAAATTTCTGAATCATCACTATGTTGCACAGTAGAATAAAAATAGTTCAGGTACTTATTCAAGTTTCTAAAGAATGCAAATAACAGACACGATTTTACTTCCAAAATCTGAAGTCATCAACATGATTTTGTAGTACTGTATCTCAGGCTTCACTTAAAAATTCATTATGATTCGGATAAAGATAGCCCCCTAGTCACACTTTTTAGAAAGCCTCTGCCCCACCACAACTTCCTGAGATCTGTGAACAAACTGCAGTCTTGTGATCAGGCTCCATGTAGTACTGGCAGTTTTGTAACTGTAAGGAAAAAATGGTGACTGATTTTAGGTGTCAATCAGTTGTAGTCTGCTGATCTGATTAGAAGCCTTGACAAATGCCTGGTGGCGATTGCAAATAACTGCCAAGCATATGGGGATAATACAGTAGCCCACCGTTTTGGGGTCAGCTCTTGTACAAGAATAAAGGAACAAAAACATCTGTAAATAAGGTATCAGAAAAATAACTGTCCAAAACCAAAAAGGCAGGGAGAGTAAACGAGCTTTCAAGGAGTGTGTCCATGTGGTTCCTTCAAGGGGCTCTTCCGGGTGCTGCTGAATGTGTTCCAAGGCCAGCCTGTTGTAAGTCTCATTGATTTCAAAAACATAGTAAAATGCTCCTGCACTTGCTAACAAATACAATCCCACTCCAATCCATCCCATCCTCTGACGGAAGTTCATCATTCTCCATGCTCTGTGCCTTCAAATTAAGAAAAAAAAAAAAAGTTAGGGTCTAGTAATGCTGTCATGGCAATGATTCCCCATTAATGCATCTCAGGCTTGAAATAATTAAATTTGCATTTACTAAGAAATGTAAACAACGCACAGCTTGTTTTCTGTAATAGTTATGAGAAAGTAAAGTTTCAGTATATATTGAGAGTGCTTTTTATGTGAATCCCACAGAATAAATAAATCACTATATCCGGCTTAAGTAGGTCCAGCACACCTTCCCTTGAGAAACCGGAATTAAACTGGTTTCCGAAGAAACACTTCACCTTTATAGTTCAAATAGTTTCTGACTTAACACTGCTGTTTCGGACGTGAACACTCGATTCTACAAGTCAAAGCAATGTCGGAGCCCCCACGTTAAGACAGTAACTCTTAAACACTTACAATGGTCCCGAAAATCTTCCTGTTCCCACGGCAAGCGTTAAAGAGTCACTCAGTTCTGAATACTCGGGTGGTTTTGGCATTTCAGAGAAAGCCACCATAAGAGAAATCCCCGGGGTCACCGGCTGGGAGAAATGGGAGCGCGGCCAGCCTGGAGCACAAGCTAATTGTGATTAAGCACAGCGTGACTGCGGCCAGTCACGCGACGGCCCGGGCCCTGTGGCTGCGGCCGGAGCTCCAGCCAGTGTCACCCGGCGGGGCCGGGAGGCTCCCCAGCCCCCCGGGCCTCCCCGGC